TACGTTGTTTTGACGGATTAAACATAGAAACTAAGTTACCTTAAGAACAAGAAGTTATGAAAATCAATACGGAACACGTAAACAAACCTTTGAGTAGAACTCGATGTCCTCACGCTCAATATCCTTTATCACCATGATTTTCATTTTAGCGAGTGCCTAGTCAAGAAAAGGGCGCTTCTTCCAGGTTAACTTAATTGAAAATGTGCGCTCTTTTCATTTTTAATTTTAAATTTTAAGGAGGAGGTGCTCCAGAAATGGAAGTGGCAATTCGACTGCGCCAATTAGCTCAAAAACAACATGGGGCTCAACAGTATTGCTGGCGAGCATTCGCGGATGCTTTGGAGTTGGTAGGTGCTCTTTTGTCAGCCCATCTTCGAATTGGTCTAGCCTGTAAGTGGGCTTGGTGTAAGGGAAGAATTGCGTTACTCTGCATGACTGTTGGCGTTTTTTGTAAGTGTTTCATGTTCGGAAATGAAGTATTGAGGTGAGATGGAAGGCATTACGGCAGTTGTATCTCGGTGTCTTTTGAATTTAAAGGCATGAGAAATGTGTTATAGCACACTGAGCTACTCAAGGATAATTATTGTTGGGGTTGAATCACATGAATGAATTCTTTCCTCCATGTTTTTTTTTTGGTTTGTAAATCATGTTCGGCTTTTCAGGTGCCATATACACTCGCGGAGAATGCTGGTCTCTCTCCCATTCATACTGTTACCGAATTGCGTGCACAGCATGCCAATGGAAATTCTGATTACGGTGTCAACGTTCGGAAGGTAGGTTCAATTTAGGTGTAATGCAAGGAAGCAGTCTCAAACTCTGTAGTACCGCAACTATAATATGCACTACTTTTAGGGTTACGTCACCGATATTCGAGAATGTACTCCAACCGTTGATGGTTACAATGTCTGCTATCCAGCTTGCGTCCGAATGTGTTAGATCTATTCTCAAGATAGACGATATTGTGAGTTTTGTTTTTGAGTCAAATTGAGAACTATAATTTTGCGTTGCGCTTGTTGAGCACTGATTAAGCTTTTAAAAATTGAGGATGTCAAGACGTTCTCCTTCGTACAAAGTTTTCTCCAACCCTGTGCAAAGACATTTTGGCGTCGAACGTGCTGGAATAGGAAAACACAGTTCTGCGTTTGACGTATTTTCATAGTTTGGGCTGTTGTGTGTGTGTGTTGTGACTTGTTTTCTATGGGGTTATCGACTTCTTCGTCTGGGGTTCGTCGTACCATTAGCTGGGACCGTTATGCGAATGTGAATTTTTACTTCAGGTGCACCGCTGCGTTTAGGCCATGCCCGGATGGCTTTAGTTGGTCTTCCGGTTCAGCGCCTTGTCGGCGTCCTTTCCTGGCCTCTGCCGCCACTGAGGCGATTTGCTCGGACCTGTTTTAAGCCCGCCTATTCGTGCAAGTCCGCCCATGAAAAGCGATTACATCGTTTACTTGGCCAGACTCTAATCATGTTTCGCGTTTTCAGGACTTCTTGCACCTGGATAAGGTTGTTGCAGGCAAGTCGCGCGGCCCATTTTTGGTACGCGTCAGCCCACGCGTGATATTCAGGACGTCTCCTAATCTCTGAACAATAATCCATATCGTGCTTTTTCACGCTTTATAGACTTTATGGGACGACTCATGAGGATCGTAGAAACGCGGGGTGTCGTCAGTTTAGGAAACGACGCCATGAAAGCGGAGCGTTCGGCTAATCAAGTGTACCAGTTGGCGCCGCACGCATTGCGCGCGCAACACAGATCTGTGGCGGCGAATTTTGATGGTGCGACGAAAAATTTCAAATTTGGCTTGATACAATACGAATATCTGAATTCTCCGCTAAATTCTATGCGCTCTTTCTTCGTCAACCATTATCCTATTTTTCTCGGTCCTCGGCCCGGACAATAAATCTCGTGGCGAACTCCGTCTACTTCGGTGCGTGCCCTGCCGACCAATAGCATTTGGCTCCCTTCTTTTCGCCGACCTCTACCCCCTTTTTCACCGGTCTCTGGGACCTCTTGGAACCAAATTACGACACTTTTGGCAAACTCCGCCCACTTAGGTGCGTGCTCTACCCAGTGATAGCAGTTGAGCTCTTTTCCCTCACCAACCTCTAACCCCGTTTTCCCCTATCTCTAGGACCTCTTGCAACCGAATTGCGATACTTTTGGCAAACTCCGCCCACTTGGGTGCGTGCTCTACCCACTAATAGCATTTGACCTCCTTTCCTTCGCCGACCTCTACTCCCTTTTTCCCAGCCTCCTGGACTTCTTGGGGCCGAGTTATGAATTTTCGTCGCAAACTCCGCCCACTTTGGTCATGTCCCTCCCACCATTGACAGCTGGCCTCCACTCCTCCACCCACCTCCATCCACCTTTTCCGCGGCCTCAGGGACTTCTTGGAGCCAAGTCATGAATTTTCGTCGCAAACTCCGCCCACTTTGGCCAAGCCCCGCCTACCACTGGCCTTTGACCTCCACTTTCCCACCCAACTATATCTTCTTTTTTCCCCACTCTCCGGGACCTTCTGGAACAGAGTTCTGAATTTTCGTCGCAAACTCCACCCACTTTGGTCAAGCTCCGCCCACCGATGACAGCTGGCCTCCACTTCCCCCACCCACCTCCATCCACCTTTTCCCCAGCCTCCCGGGACTTCTTGGAGCCGAGTTTTATATTTTCGTCGCAAACTCCGCCCACTTTGGTCAGGCCCCGCCCACCAATGACAATTAACCTCCACTCCTCCACCCACCTCTATCCACCTTTTCCCCAGCCTCCGGAGCTTCATGGAGCCGAGTTATAAATTTTCGTCGCAAACTCCGCCCACTTTGGTCAAGCCCCGCCCACCATTGATAGCTGGCCTCCACTCCTCCATACACCTCTATCCACCTTTTTCCGGCTCTTTAGGACTTCCCCGACCCGAATTATGAGGGCTTGTAGAAAATGCTGTACACTTCAGAGCGCGCCCCGCCCATTCTGGGCGGGCCTCCGCCCACGTCATGTATGCAGGAAACACCTTAGACATTGCTCCCTTACACCAATTGTTTTCTGCTCTGTAGGCTTTCTCCCAACCGAGTTATGAAATTTTTCATAAAGCACTGCTTTTTTAGAGAACGCCCCGCCCACCGGGGGTGGGTCTCCCTAATTCGATGTGACTTACCAATGCACACCTTAGCCCACTTTTTGGCCCAGTTTCGAGGTCGTTTTGTCACTGAAATCGAAATCTTGGTCTTCGGTACAATTCATTTCGACGCACGCCACGCCCTCTGTGGGCGGGGCTCCGCTTAGCTGATGTGTGTTTTGTATTACGTGAGACCTTGCCCACCCATCCCACACTTGACCCGGTCCCTCCAGGCGGATCCCGAGGAGCTAGGGAATTTCGTGACAGACATACAGAACGACAGAGGACAGAACGACAGGGACGAGACGACAGACGAAGGCTTAGTATAGCTATGTTAAGATGCTAGAGGTACGATGCTATTTTGCTTCCGGTCACAATTTGTATCTGGCTCGTAGGCTTTCGTAACTTAGTTGTGAATTTTTTCAATTAAGCACTTAAATCACGTAGGTGGTCCTCTAAATTTGGCTGTATAAATGCGACACGTTTTATCCTTTTCTTGAAGTTCTTGGGCAGGGTCAATCATCCGTTGGCCGATATTATAGATTTGACGACCCCTTCTCCGCCCCTTTACAGGGACCTCGTGCATATTTGAACCGTAAAAACCGGCTCAAAATTTTTAGCGCGCAACATGGTGCATAGTCACTTCCCTACTGTTATCTTAGCGCTACCTCGGCGAAATACGACCCCACCGCTTTTTTCACCACACATCGACCAGCCTCCAAGCATTTGGATGCAGCGACGACATGTGGACGGGCATGATATTCTGTATCTGGACATGCTTAAAGGTCTCACACTCGACCCGGTCTCTCCAGGCGGATCTCCAGGGGCCGGATTTAACCTTTCCGAAAGGTTGGGGACGAAAATCCCTCTAAATTTATTTGTTTCAACGATATAGTTTCTTCATTTTCAGTGCTTGTTTACTTTGACCTACATACATACATTAAATGTAGACCCTTTATCAGGACAATCCCAGTTGGACAGAAAAATTTGAAGGGATTTTCGTCTCCCAAGCCCTTGGGAAGAATTGGATCCTGCACCAGGAAGTAGGGAGTTTTGTGACAGACGACAGATGAAGCGCTTTATCATAAGTAGCTTTTGGAAAATACACGGGAGATCGAGAGTGCTCAAATAAGTTCAGCGGTGATCATTTGTGGAATCTTTGGGTGTCCTATCTGAAGCTTTTGGAGTGGGAGCATACTTGACATCTATTTGAGATGATTGTTAGGTTCCGAAGCTCTTTTATCGAAATATTCAATTTTGGGACGTAAATGTTATAACCCTGTGATTGTAGTACTCGAGCTATGATTATAAAATGAATGCTTTTGTTCTTTGCTTTCTTTAAAACCTCTTTCAATTCGTAAAATTTAAGGTGATGGCTGTTCGTTAACGACTCCCCTGTATCGCTCGAAAGCAGCTCGTTAATCATCCAAGTCATTTCTCTCCGGCTTCTAATAGCTTTGCCTTGCCGACGTGCTGGCGCCAATTTTCTTGATCTGCACTCCTTTACAGTTGTTTTAAGTCTCGATTTGTTATCTGTTTGACTGCAATTGTTTTTTTTTAATAAAATTGTTGTAATTGTTGGCTAGAGTCATTTAGTAACAACGTTTATCGAAAAGCGTATGCTTGGCAATAGAAAGGTACAATGGTGGAATGTATGAATGCTCGATGTTAAAGATGGCAGAGCATACACCAACTGCAGAAGAAGGAATGTGTGTTTTGAGAATGGTGTTCCGGGACGGCGAAGAGATCTAGCGGTGGTAGACATACTCGCGTTGGCTGTTGGAGGGCGGCGTGTCAGTCGATGGTTTCAACGACTTCCGGCGAGCTTCCTGTAGGTGGAGACATCGTGAGTGATTACACAGTTGATTGGTGAGAAGAAGCAGTTCCGTGAGCCAGCCAGTGCCCTCAGTTGAGACTTCTTTGCTGCTCGCCATGCACCTTCGTACCCGCTTCCATTTTCGGGTTCGTATGCCAGATAGTAACTGAAAAAAACGAGTGATAAACTGGTGATGAAATTTGGGAAACTAGAATTTTTTGGTGTCTACGTCACAAGAGGATAAAATGTTATGGTACGCCGGTCGATACGGCTAGAGGGCATTGATTACGAAATGAATGGGTCGGGGTAATCTCAGTTGCCTCATGTGATCAAGAACGAATCCCTGAAAAATTGCTTGGAAAATGGTTGACCATTTAGCGACCAGGCGTGTTTCGAGCAGCTGCGAGGTCGGCCGTGGTGCCTGACATTGTCGTGAATGGGTTAGCGCCTGTCGCGCTGTAATCACACTCGGCGACCGCGGTGACATTCGAAAGAGTTCCCTATACAGAAAGGGAAGTCTGTGGTGATGTTGGAAGGGATTACACCAGAGTTAGCCACTGTCCGACTTCTTTCGATTGTGGGTCCTATTTGGCTCTCCGGAGGAGCAAGGTATTATTGAGTGGAGATGACAGCGCATTTTTAAAAGGGCTAAAAGAAGTCAAGGTGCCGGGATTTTTCTTTGGGTATATCTGCAAGATTTGAGAAATTTTTCATAAAATAGGGGTATGAAAAATTTCTCGAAATTGTTGGATTCTAAAGTAACAGGTTTATCTAATGTACTCCCGAAGGGAAGTTATGATACGTTTTCTGTTGGGTGAAGTATAGCTGACGAGGGTCAGTTAGAAGTCCGTTGGGGTGGTGTTTGGCAAGTTTTTGCCGTCGCGTAGCCATTACTGTGGTATCTGCTCATGCCTAGCGATCGTTTCTTAGCCGGACGCCAGACTGTGCGAAATACCACGATTGCAGGGCACGGCGTTTTCGACAAGGGCATAGGGTCGGAGCCTTTACCTTTAACATTGAATCGTGTGTGCATCGTTGTTGAACGGCTGGGGTGATTGCTTGAGCGCTGTTCGCACCGTGCTTAATCCCCCCAATTGAATGTATGCTTGTGGTCGGCTATACCGCCCTGGATTCAGTTCCGAAATTTTTGCGAACCTTAGGGAAGGGCTGATACGACCCCTCCCCATTCCTGACCAACCCTCGCCATCATGGCTGTCTCTATAGTGTTTGATTCTGAAGCCAGTCGTCAGAACCCAAACTTCGCCTATTTTTCCCTTCAAAACGACCGTGGAGCAGAGAGGGGGGTGGGGAAGTAATTATGTAAGGGTAATGTTCCAATTTCGTCCACTTCATGCTTATTCTTGAAGTTTTTATCAAAAGTTACCAAAGACCCCTTAACCACAACCCCTTCAACTTCCAAAAGTACGACCCCCGCCCCTCTTTCGACCCTTGAACCTTCACCAGCCCCAATGCGACCTCCCCTCTAAGAAGCTCCGATACAGCACCCGCGGTGGAGACCTGTTCAACCTTGCTGTACCGCACAATGCTAGCGATTCGCTGGATTAGCGAAGTCTGACACAAGCCTAAAGCTGCACGCGTAGCTATTGAAGCCACCAATTGATGATTGTGGTGGGAAGAGATTTCCGGTCCTCTACTGTATCCAGACCCCGCGAGTTCATAATTTGAAGGCATGTTCCAAGGAAGGACTGGGATGCAGGTCCTCGATATTTGCGGCAGAAGGAGCTCAAAATGGCCGGTTCTTCCTAATGATTCTTAAATTGTAACAAACCTGTTGCATAGAGCGACGAGAGCGCACAAAAGAAGAACACGAGCGATGATTGCCGACAAAGAGCTGTGCATTATTCTGTAAAGAGGTTGATTTGAAACAATGCCGATTCCAGCAAAATATTTTGTAGGCGGCGAAGATATCACATTATGCAACGATTGACAATGCTTTCAATAATACTTTTGTTGGAAAGTAATAATTGAAGAGAGAATGTGGAGGAGAGGTGTGGAGAGATGCATGTATTTAGCCATAATAAAGTTGTAAGAGAAGCCCAAAAGGCATAGAAGGTTTCAAGAGAGGCGAGGAACTATCAGCTTGTAAGGAAAGTTCTGGCTGTTATGGAAAGTTCGTTTTGAAGTTTTTTGGTGGTATTTTCTGCTCTGAATTCTTTCCTGGTAGACAGCGATCGATTTGCATATTATAAAAGCCGCTTTTCTTTCTCTCCATCTGATGCTAAGGTCAATTTTGGTCTTGAACAACCCTTTTCACTTGCCTCCAAACCTAAAAAATATCCACTAGATCG